AAAGGGACTTGGGGGTCATGATTGACCACAAGATGAACATGAGCCTTCAGTGTGATGCTGCGGCCACTAAAGCAAGTAGAACACTGGCTTACATCCACAGATGCTTCTCAGGCAAATCCCAGGACGTCATTCTCCCCTTGTACTCGGCCTTGGTTAGGCCGCAGCTGGAGTACTGTGTCCAGTTTTGGGCTCCACAATTCCAAAAGGATGTGGAGAAGCTTGAGAGAGTCCTGAGAAGAGCCACGCGAATGATCAGAGGTCAGAAAAACAGACCTTACAATGACAGGCTGAGAGCTATGGGACTCTAGCCTGGAAAAGCGCAGGCTCGGGGTGATCTGATGGCCACCTGTAAGTTTATCAGGGGTGTTGACCAGGATCTGGGGGAACGATTGTTCACCAAAGCACCCCAAGGGATGACAAGGTCGAATGGTTATAAACTCCAGCAAGACTGTTTCAGGCTGGACGTAAGGAAGAATTTCTTCACTGTCCGAGCCCCCAAGGTCTGGAATAGCCTGCACCTACATTGGACGCCTTCAAGAGAAATTTGGATGTTTATCTTGCTGGGACCCTACGACCCCAGCTGACCTCCTGACCCTTGGGCAGGGGGCTGGACTCCATCTTCCGAGGTCCGTTCCAGCCCTAATGTCTATGAAATCTATGAAGAGGCAAACCTCTTCCAAATTTTAGGTCCTTGATCCAGAATGTGGACCTGATAGAGTTTCTCAAAAGAAACTAGGGATTGTTAATGGTTGTGCTTGTAATAAGCATTCAACATGCGCACATCCTGCATTGTCAGGTCAGTGGTGTTAGATGACTCAGCAGTTCTTTTCTGTCTCTTAACTTCTGATCCTGTTTTTCTTGAAGTATTCAGAGGACCTGAGTGTAATACAGGTCCTGTGCACAGGGTTGCTTTTGTGGCTGGATATGGCATGCAGGTCTGGGCTGGTATGCCAGATCATACCCTCACACTAGCCCCAAGACTGGATCCAGGCTGTGGACCAACCCGGTCAACAGGATCTGACCCACAAACTGGCCCTGTGTCACTCATCTGGCCTGCAAGGCCAAGAGGTTGAACACCACTGATCAAAACTAACGCATCTTGATTGCTCTAATAGTTATGAAAGGACAAGGATATTCAGGAGTTGGCAGTTTGACTGTTCAGTTTGGTGATGCGCCCAGGTACCAGATCCTCTCTCCTTAAGACACCTAAAATGTGATGCAAGGGCAGAGGGTGTGGCTGAGGACATAAACACATAGTAACAGCAGACTGGAATTTCTAGTGATTATTTCTTTGCTTTTTTAATTCCTCACCATTTTTGAAGATTTAATTTTTTTTTTTAATCTCATCCTGGAGGTGAATTGTTTTGGGATTTTTCTTTTGTATGATGTCAGATAACAACTTCCAAATCTATGAGCTGCTGTCTAGTATTATTGCTTATCTAGTATAATGTGTGCATTCTGTCTACCCCATCTGGGCATGTGTAATTTTCAGTTTTCTATTGTGCTGTGCTGTTTGTTGAATACCACATTCACATGGAGGGCTGTCCAAGATGTTCATCTTGTGAAGTGTTGTTTTGAAGCATCTGTATCCAGATCTCACTCTGTTCAGCTTGACCTACACCTCTCTTTCAAGGTCATGCCCAATGATGGGCTCATTTGGTGTTGGTATAAAATGCTGTAGGAATAGGTCTGACCTTTCCTAGGGTTGGCTCACTCTGTTTGCTGCCCATAGGTTTGGTTCAGCACTGCCAGTCTTTTCCAGGACCTTGTGTGTTTTGTCTACAAATGGCTTATGATTTTTAAGCTTCTTAAGCCTTCAACTGTTTCGGTCTTCAGTTAACAGTTGGTGGAGCAGATGATTTTTGTCATCACTTGTCTCTATTGCCAGTAATGATGTGAGGTTCTGTTGTCTTATATCACTAACACCCAAGAGCACAGTGAGTGTGTGTGTAAATTGTGCAGTCTGTTATGAATCTCAGCATATTGTCTCAAGCTTTTTAGTGTGACAACTTGTAGACCATACAGGAGTACAGTATTCTGCTGGGGCATACACCACTGCAAGTACAGTGGTTCTGAGCACTTTGAAGTTGGCATCCATGTCGTGCTGGATAAGCATCATAAGGCAGCTACTAGGGCTGTGCGAAATTTCAGCAACTGTTTCGTTTCGGAGGTGTTTAGCACCCGAAACACTGAATCTGAAATGAAACCATCTGAAACGTTTTGGAAAATTTCAGAGTTTTGGAGCTGGGCTTGCAGGAAAACAAAAATGAAGAAGAGAGAGGGGGAAGAGTTGGGGAAGGACTGCTCTGATATTGACATCTGTAGCTGGCCAGTGTCTGTGATCTGTCCCTGAGGTCCCTTCCAATCCCAGTGCTCTGGGGGAGGGACGGCAGCCTGCTGTCAACCCGTGCACAGATCCAGGGTCCCTTGCCCCCCGGGAGGAGTCTGGCACAGCCCTCCCGTGGGGTGTGGCCCCCATATATGCATGTAAGATGGCGGCTGCTGCTGGCGCTGGCCCCAGCTGGCAGCAGCAGCCTGTGGTCATCCCACACGCAGATCTGGTGGCCCGCACCCCCCCCCCACCCGGGAGGAGTTTGGCATAGCCCTGCAGACCTCCCGTGGGGCATGGGGCCCTAGATCTGCGTGCAGGATGACAGTATGCTGCCACTGCCGGCAAGTGATACAAGTTTTGCTTTGAACAGTTTGAGGTGCAGTTTCACAGAAACCCCTGCACCTATCTCCATGAAACTTGGCAGGCTTCATGCCCTCATCCCTATAAGTTTCATCCGAATCAGGCAAGAAATGACAAAGTTATAGTAATTTTAGTGATTTCCCCATTGTTGGGGGGCAGATCAAGGCCCCTGTGGTGAGGGAGGAGTGGGGCAGGTGCTGCCCAGGTAGAGCAGAGCAGGGTTCCAGGCGGAGCCATGGCTCATCCAGGGGGTGTGGGGAGTGGCAGCTGCAGGGAAGGGGAGGGGTGCCCAGATCTGTGCAGGGAACAGGCACGGTGGGCTGCAGCTGCAGGCTGGGGCTGCGTGAGGCTTTTCGTGGCAGGGGCTGGGCCAAACTGTGCTCATGGTAGGCAGCAGCACTGGAAGAGGGCTATGGCGGTGGGGGAAGGCTGCAGCCACCCCAAAATTTGCTGTAGCCCCACCAACTCCCCCCCACTTCCAGCACTGCTGCCACCTGTCCCAAGCACAGCCCCAGCCCTACTTCCTCCCCCCCCACCTCTCCCATGTGCTGAGAAGAGTCTGGTGCCACCCCAGCCCACAGCCATAGCCCACCCTGCCCTGCCCCATGCAGACCCAGGGGCACACGCCCCCCCACGCCCTCCGAGGGCGCGCATAGCAGTGGGAGCCGCCCCACCCCTCCCTGTGCCCCCCCGATGGGCGGCAGCGCCATCCAGCACCTTGCCTTGTCCCAGCTGACCAGTGCCTGTCCCGGCTGGCCAGTGTCTGCCCCAGCCCCACTCCCTCCCTCACTGCAGGAGACTTGACCTGCCCTCCCCTTCCACTACAACAGACTTACCAGCTGCATGCAGTTCTCCAAGCTGCCAGGCTGTTTCTCCTTGCTGCCTCATGCTGTGCTGCAGCTGCGCGCATGCATGGGCCATTTATTGGCCAAATTGTCGACCACTTCAGGCCAGTTTCCAATATGCTAAATTTTCTTTATATTGGTGCCGATCTGATATTGGACCGTTGTATCTGTGCACCTCTACTATGTGGCTCAGAGTAGCCTTTATATGCCAGGGGCCCTGCCTCTGCCCATGCTGTTGCCCCTCTCTCCCAAGCCAGGCCCCCCCCCCCCCC